TCATCAAAATCGTCAACCGGTGTTGGTTGGGCCGTGAGCGTGCAGCGGGAATCGAATCCTGCCCGCCGGGTTTGTCGGGGCAGCGCGCTCACCGCTGCACCACCGCTCCCCTCCCCACCCAACTCCCCACCACCACGCATGCAAATCCACCCACAGTTGCAATACGCTCTCTGCTCGTGGTTAACGCCTGATTCCGTTCATCTCGGGGGGTGTTTCTCATCAATTCCGAGACGCAGCACAGACACACACACAGACAGAGAGAGCGGGGAAGAATGCCCGTTGAGGCATTGAACGGCGCGTGTCCACCTCTCAACCGAGGGGTCGCTCCGAACCGTCGTACCATCGGTGCTGGTAGCTTTGTCAACTCGAGTCTCGGGTAATCGCCTTCCCCCTCGCGCTTAGCGCCTCTCCCCTCTCTCTCTCTCCCCACCACGGCGATGATAAAACGCCTGGAGGCGACTCCGCGAACATTGCGTTCCGTTGCGACTGCTCTCAAATTCATAGACACACGCGCAGAGATAGAGGCGCAGCCCTGCAATGGCTTCATGATGCCACTGCTCGCGGAGATCTAGATGAGACCCTCCTTCCCTCCACACACACACACACTAGCGGGTATATGGCCTACTCTTCCACGTGGGAGTACCCACAGTTTACCCCATCTCACGCGGCCTGCCGATAGACTAACTGATACAAACGTGCATGTTCTTCCAGAACAGAAGTCCCATTACTCACGTAGCGGTTCGGATTCTTTAAATTCTGTTCTGGGCTTCGTCACATCCGCTGCCCCGCACATAGAGACCCACAGACTCGCACAGAGACGCGTAGACTCACCCATAGACTCACATACAGACCCATAGACTCACACACAAACCCATAGACTCACAAACAGACCCATCATAGACTCACATACAAATCCATAGACTCACACACAGACCCATAAACTCACATACAGACCCATCATAAACTCACATACAGACCCATCATAGACTCGCATACAAACACTTACAATATCACACAGAGACCCGTTGACTCACAGCGAGAGAGACACACACAAACATTAACGTACGTATGTTAAACTTCTTTCGCACCGCACGTAGCATACGCAGAGACCCCCATAGACTTATACTGATCGGGGCGTTGGGGTACTTCCTCCACGAGCTCTTGAGAGCGAAGGGAGGCCCCCCCCCCCTACGCTAGCAGTGGAGAGAGCAAGGTACCTACGAGGTCTCCACGTTGCTATCAAAAGCGACGACTTTGTGTGTGTGTGGTTACAGAAATGTAAAAAAATAACTGTATATTTAATAGGTTGCGTTTGAGTGATGACCTTTCTCCGCATTGTGTTTTCATTTTGAAGGCCGCAACGGTGTTATTGACGATTGTGTTGAGTTATTTTATTTGAAAAATATATAACTGTGTATATGTGTGTAGCATTGCGTCGGTGCTGTGTGTGTGTGTGTGTGCTCACGCTGCCGTAAGCTAACGATCAATTTATAAATATCGCATGGGGAGGCTATACATAACATCGGACCCAAACGCCAGCTGTAATCCCCGCGTATAATGCCTTTGTTTTATTAATAGCATTACGACTGTACTACGATGATGAGTGGGGTTATTATTTTTGTATTATACTGTACCTGTGTCTGTGTCTCTGTGTAGTGGTTAGGGGGTGGAAGGATTTCGGGAGGTCTGGGTAGGGTGAAAATCTTCACGATTCGCGCGTGTTAAAACATATCGCGTGTAGCATATAACGTGGGTAACACCCACAGTATATATGTGGACTGCAGTGTGTGTACTAATGAGTACGTGCGTGTTGATGTGCGTGTGTGTATGTGTGTGTAAGGGAGCTCGCTAACTTGTCCCAAAAGTCGGTGGAGGCTATGCGGGTAATCTTTATGTGTGTGCCTACGTGTACATAAGATGTACCCCGGGGCATATGTATACACATTGAAGGGGACACAACGCATTATTCATCAACAGCGTAAATATGATGATGTATTCCACAATCTCCGTGTGTATAACTCATGCAAAAATGCACATTATTGCTAAGCACAAGATATGTGCATATAACAGTGCGTAAAAACACAACATTTTCACAATACAGCATACACACACACACACGCCATATACACAACATATCAGATACAGTACCCACAATGTATACAGCACAACACTTGCACTACGTGTAAATAGCACAGCACATTACAGACACTGCGTATGTAGAACAGCACATACGCACAGCCCATATAGAAAGCTGAGCATATACACAAAGACAAATGTTCCCGAATAGCCTTTAACAGAATGTCGGGGGCAAGTGCTGTTAGCAAGCACCTATCAAGTCCGGCACGGCACACCAAGGGTGGCCAACACCACACACGGCCGCCTTTGTCTCCCCAGTGCTGATATTTTATACATATCACGCCAGGTTACTCGTTTAAGACTGAGTCTACCTTGCGGATGACCATGACTCTTTCAAATAATCGCCAGTGACATGGGTCGTGAAACAGACACATGTACACAGCATAGCATACATCTACCCTATGTACAGAAAACAGCATCAGTATTTGCACACAACATGTACAAAGCAGAAATCATTCATAGTGTTTACACAACACATAATGGCATATACACACAGCATGCACACAGCACAGCATATACACACACAGCATGCACACAGCACTGCACACGTACCATCGGTGATATTGTTGCAATGAAACGGCTACGTGTACATCTAACACGGTCAGCATCGTACATACACACACACACACACCACGTCCACACGCACGCGCGATTTTGTAGTGAGCTGTTGAACGCGACGGCCAGCTATTGTAGAACAGTTCTCTGTACCCCGTTCTGTATTCGTACACAAATTAAACAAATTTAACATTTACTCCAACTGCGAAATGGCGTGTTTTGTTTGACGCGACAAACCTCAAGAACGGGTCGTGTCGGGTGGTGGCGGGTTTCACGACACATTTTTATCTCGGAGATCGCATTGTGGTCCATGAAACCTATTCGTTTTTGTTGGACACGATTTGATCAAGTGGCATTATTTGATCAGGCGAGGTCACTCTGGACCGGCTTCGGCCGTCTGGGTCTCATCAGTAGAACCAGACCCTTTAAAGAAACGCCGCCGGATGAACACGGGTTGTTGGTGAGAGCACTCCATATACACCGCGGGGAGCCACCGGTTCAATGCAATAACGCAATGAATGGCGTGCAAGCGCACCCTCAACCTCGTTTTACGTGTGCTGGAAGAGCACGAGGGGGTGGGTGGCCAGCACCACGGCCGGCCGCCTTTGTCTCCCCCAGTGGCGATGTTTACACGCGGCACAAGGGTACTCATTTGAGGCCGAGTCGACCTAGGAGAGGCCCGGAACCGATTCAGATAACATTGGCCGTGAGCGGGAATGGAACTCGGCTCGCAGGGTTCGGGGCGCAGCGCGTTAACCTTTTGCACTAACCCCCCCCCCCCCCCCCCACCATAAGCACATATATTTGTATTGTAGAATAGAACATATATGGTGTATAGGTAACCCATTGCAGCCTGACACTCCCCACAACTCAACACCAACAAATCTCGTAAAGACAAAGGCGGCGAGCGGGCGGGGGGGGGGGGAGGGGTTGGCGAAATAACGCGATCATGTCACGGGTGATGCATAGGGCCCTTAAGGTTTTGAGTGCGGGACAAGTGAATTAAAAATTACGGGTGAATAGGGTAATGCCGATGTCAACGCTAACCAAATCCCAGATGCATTCTCAACCCACAACCTCCCCCCCCCTTCCAATCCGCCCCCCCGCTCCGTGCAACGCACCGCTGCGGTGTCGCATGAACGGGATTGATACGAACCGGTCGATGTACTCGGCCAAGACCATTCGCCACTCGCAACTCGCGTTTATGATTTAAAAAAAAGAACAACGGATAAATTTTCGGAAATAATTAATGCCACAAGGTAATTGACTGGCTAAAGACGGCAGGCAATTTAAGCGACTGCAATATGGAATTGCTTGGAGGTACAATGTACTTAGCAGGGCGATTAATCATAGCTAGACCCCCCCCCCACCCCCCCACTTGGCTTCTCAAGGCAACTCAACGCAACCCATTCCGTTTCCCTCCTCCTCCGGCTCGCCCGCCCTCCTCCCCCCCTCAATACATTACAGCGGTAATTAATGTGCTGCCTCCTGTAAATGCTTCCGAATTAAGCGGCGATACGAGCGGTACATAGTTAACGTAATTGTAAACACGTGTTTCCGTGCGCGAGGTGGCGGTCGTTTGTTGATTCATTTTTCCAGCCCTCCTCCTCTCTCTGTCTCGCGTGAACGGCCGAGGCCGTGGGATTGAAAATTTGGTCGGTGCGCGTTCACGTGGCCCCCCCCCCAGGTCTGGAGGAGGAAGGGGGGGGGGACACTGCCAACACAAGTATTATAAATGTTGTTGTTGTTTGTTTGCAATCGTCAGCGTTGTGTTTATATAGCAGGGAGGAGGAGGGAGAGAAGCGTGATTGTACACGGGAAACAATGAGCAAAGCGAATGCAAACTGTAAACCAGCTTCCAGGACGGTGCGTTTGATAGTACGATGTTTATTGACATGTAGACTAAAGACTACCAATTACAATGCACCTCTTTTTGTGATGAAGACAATTAATACTGCACACGTCGTTCAAGACCCCCCCCCCCCCCGACACACACACCGCCCTTAAAAACATATAAATATTGACTGACCTATTGTGATGACTAATACCAGCTAATAAGTTACATTCCAATAAATAGGATAACCGTGTAATGTATTTTTTTCTTCACATTTAAAAGTTATTCACGAACAATGACGCCTACGATAATGTCCGCTATTCCATGACAATCACTATGCCTATATATATATAAAAATGTTACCAGACAATGAAAGGAGATAATTTTTTTCCAACATCTAAATATATACATTACAATATACTCTGACATGTGGTACTGAGAATGACTTTGGCACGATGTAAATTTGTTTGTGTTGTGTTTTTTTTTTGTTTCCTTTAACATTACAGTTATATAGTTATCTTTTACAAAACAAGGAACAATAAAATGTCAAGATCCATTCCTGGGGGAAAAGTATACCCATCCGCCCCCCACCCACCCACCCACCCACCCCACCGCCCCCCCCCAAAAAAGCACATCAAATATTCACATCCGCACGTGAAAATAATATTAATAATTATTATAGCAACATGAACATCAACAGCAACATCAACAATCGACAGCGACACACAACAGCGACATTAACGACGTTTGAAATCAAACTCTGCACCCTCTAAACGTCAAATTAAACCATCTCCGCCCCCCACCCCCCAACCCAAATAAAAAGAAAACAATCCTTAGTACGACAAACAAATAGTGTCACTGCAATAGTATATAGGGCGTTATGCCCATCGCGGACAATTTACAGCACAGTTATGTACACTCGAAAAAATAAATACTCCAGTCAATTAAATTAATACGTTCCAGTGTTCCGTGTGAAGGGAGAGAGGTGGTGAGGGTGTTGGGGGTGGTGGTGAAAATTCGGGGGCAGGGAGGGGGGGCTCATGAAGTTGAGCGGATGAGTTTGGAGAGAGGGGGGGGGGGGTATGATGGGTTGGCAGAGATGAATTTCTTCGTTTAATCACCGCCACTGTGCCACCATCCTTGCCCACAACCCCATTGCGCACCGCATCACTGCCCGACGGCGTGCTTGCCCCCCTCCCCGTTTTCTCCTCCTACCGCGTCTCTCTCTCTCTCTCCCCAATATCTCTCTCTCACTTGGCTCGTAAAATGAAAAATCATAATAGTAATCGCAACAACTGCGGCGAAGGACTCATTGCAAACGTAATCAGGCAGGAGGCAGCCTTAGTAGCGGTAATTGCAGTGCGCCGGGCATGTTTGCAAATGATCATTACGTGCGCGTTCCCAGTCCAATTCCCAGAGCCCTTGTTAAAGCAAATATCGGGGGTAGGGAAGGAGAAACGGGGGGGGATGGCGGAGGAGCGTGATGGGGGGGGGGGTGATGGTTATGAAGGAGAGAAAAGAAAGCCGGAGCGAAGCGGAACAGGGGAACAGCGGGTTGGTGCCTCGGGGCCAACCCCACGGCAAGCGATGCCGGGTGCCCGCGAGCCTCCGCGTCTCCCTCGCTCTCTCTCCCGTTGGGCGGCGGCGTCGGCGGCGTCGGGATCAGACGTACCACTCGCTAAAGTTGGCCGAAAAGAAGGGGGTGGCGGGACAAGGGGGTACGCCCGTGTGGGAGCCAGGGACCTGGGTGGGCTGCGACGACTGGTGGGAGGGGGGCGGCCCCCCTCCTCCACCACCTCCTCCTCCCCCCACGACTGCCCCTGGAGGTTGCTGCTGCTGCTGCTGCTGCACCCCGGCGTTTGCGGCGGCGGCCCCTTCGCCGCCGGCGGGGGAGACGAGGGAGGGCGGCGTGGATGACTCGTAGCCCGAGCTGGTGGCTGGGGAAGGTTGCGAGCCCTGCGGGGTTGATTCGTGAACCTGGAAAGAAAGAGCGAGGACCATATTCGTTGTTATTTTAATGCTCGTTGTCATCATTTGGCGTATTGCAGTTTGGTGAATGCTGATGATGCAATTTGAGTCTCGAGGCTGTATTCTTGAAGAGGGGGCATTGCCCGAAACGTCGCCTATATATGGTTACACACACCACGAGGCACTCATTTGACGGCTGAGTCGACCTAGGGGAGGCCCAGGGCTGGTTCAAATAATCGTCAATGGTTGTCGGTGGACGTGAGATGGATTCGAACTTGGGTGGCCGGGTTAGTAGCGCAGCGTGCAAACAACTACACTACCGCTCCCCCATCACCCCCACACACACACACACTTGGGAGTATTTGACTATGTACAAAATCTAAATTAGTACTCATTTAAGGTTGAGTACCTGGTGTAGTGTGTGAACCTCATCACTACAGGGGAGACAAAGGCGGCCGAGTGTTGGTTGCTGACCCCCCCCACCCAACCTCCGCCGTGTGCCGTGTCGGCCTTCATAGGTTCTCGCAAACAACACTTGCCCCCAAAATCCCGTGCGGACTATACGGGGGGCCTTTGTCTGTGCACCTACATATATGTGTGTACACGTGGAGCGGTGGGCGCAGTGGCTAAATCACTGCGACTTGGAACCCGCGCCCGACCTGATTTCCGTTCACGGCCAATGGCACAACGTTAGTGGCGCGTGGATATCAGAAGCGGTGCCGAGGCCTCCCTCCCCTAGGTCGACTCCGCCCTAAACAAAAAACGAGCGGAGACATCGGGGGTTGTAATGTTTGAAACCGGCCGCACCCACCCACGAACCCTCGTGCAGGCCTCTGTGACGGCCTCAATAGGCGCTCGCAAACTAGCGCGCCCTTGCCCCCGCAGGCTACACGGGGGATCTTTGTGCGTGCGCGTGCGTGCGTGCGCGTGCGTGCGCGTGCGTGCTGCACCGCAGTGGAAGAAGACTCAGAGCGGCAACACGCGAATCTCTTTTCATTGCAAAATGGCCACGCTGCTGAGCTGCGCGATCAGCAACAGCAGCAACTTTTAGGGTGTCGGGGGTGGAGGAGGAGGGAGGAGGAGGGGGCAGGAGGGGGGGAGGTGCCCCCCCCCCATACCCCCCGCCACCACCCCTCAACCCCCACCACCACTCTCCTTCACTCCAATCCCAATCACCCGTCCCCTCCATCTTCCCCAGCCTCACCGACTGTTCCCCGCGTCTCAGACCTCCCCCACCCTTCCCCTCGCTTCCTCGCCTGCCCCCCTCGCTCTCGTGCGTGTGAGTACACGTGTGTGTGGGCACGTGTGTACACATGTGTGTACGCATGTATGTGTGTGTGTGTAGCGGTTAGCGCGCTGCGCTACGAACCCGGCGACACGGGTTCGATTCCCGCTCACGGCCAACACCAGTGACGATTATTTGAACCGGTCCTGGGCCTCCCCTAGGTCGACTCAGCCTCAAATGAGTACCTGGTGCGGTGTTTAAACATCACCACTGGGGAGACAAAGGCGGTCGGGCGTGGTGCTGGCCACCCACCCCCTCGTGTACCGTTCCGGCCTTCATAGGTGCTACTCGCTAACGGCACTTGCCCCAACAGTCTGTTAAGGCTATACGGTGGATCTTTATCTTTGTCCACAACGTGTGTATCCGCGTGGTTGTGTGTTCGTGTACCGCGGCATTGTTCGACCGGAAAGCCAATGTCGGCTACACGGGGGATATTTGTCTTTGTGTTCGCGTGTGTGTACACGTGAATTGCGCGGGGAGTTGGGGGTCTTTGTGTACACGCGTGTGTTTGTGTGTGTACAGACGTCTGCGTTTACACGACACTATACACGTGGCGTGGGTGTTCGTGAGTGTGTACGCGTGTTATGTATCCGTGTGTGTGGTGACACGTATGTACACACACCAGTGGCGATTATCTGAACCGGTCCTGGGCCTACCCTAGGTCGACTCAGTCTTAAAATAGTACCTAGGGAGATCAAGACGGCTGGGCGTGGTGCTGATCACCCACCCACTCGTGTACCGTGCCGGCCTTCATAGGTGCTCGCTGACAGGACTTGCCCCCCCTCCCCCAAAGGTTTGTTAAAGGCTATACGGGGGGTCTTTATCTTTGTGCTTGCACACCGCGCCAGGCACGCGTTAAAGGCTGAGTGGACCTCAGGGCCGGTTCAGTTGCGTACGTGTGTGTACGGACACGTGTGTGTACGTGTGCATACACGTGTGTACGCTCGTACGCACACACGTGTGTATATGTCTGTACACACGTGTGTGCGTACACACATACGCACGTGTGCGCGTGCGTACGTGTGTGTGTACACACGTGTGTGTACACGTGTATATGTGTGTGCGTACACGCGTGTGCGTGCGTACACACACATGTACACGTGTGTGCGTGCGTGTACACGTGTGTGTGTGTGTGTGTGCGTGCGAGCGAGTGCGCGCGTGCGTAAATTAACCTTGAGGTGCTTGCGCAGAGAGCTGGGGTGCGTGTACGACTTGTCGCACACTTTGCAGAAGTAGGGCTTGTCCGACGTGTGCACGTGCATGTGCTTCTTGCGGTCGCTGCTGTTGGCGAAGCGGCGGTCGCAGCCCTCGAACTCGCACTTGAACGGCTTCTCGCCTGCGTCGGTGGGGAAGGGGGGGGTTGAGGTGCAACACTCGAGTTACGCACCAGATGAAGGTTCTCCCGTGTAGCCTCAACAGACCATCGGGAGTGGGGGGCAAGTGCTGGGAGTAGCAGGAACCATTGAAGCCCCGCAAAGACACAAAGACTACACATACAAAGACTCCAGTCGGATAGCCTTCAGACTGTTGGGGCAAGTGCTGTTAGCGAGCGCCTTTGAATGCCCGAACGGCACACGAGGGGGTGGGGTGGCCGGCACCAGGCTCGGTCGTCTTGATATCCCTCGCGGCGATGTTTACACGTCGCACCAGGTACTCATTTGAGGCCGAGTCGACCTAAGGGAGGCCCAGCATCGGTTCAGATGATCGCCGCTGGTGTTGGCCGTGAGCGGGAATCGAAATCGAACAAGCCGAGGCTCGTGGCATGCATAGGGCGCTAACCACAACACCACAGCTTGCCACACACATGCATATACACACATATATAAACAGTATACACATTCATAGACACGCACACGCACATATACAGGACAATACAACTAATTACGGACGGGCAAGTGCTCTGAACGAGCGCCTTTGCCTTCCAAGTTCCGTTTGCTGGTGGTGGCCGTGGGTTTGACTCGAACTCGGACCACCGAAATCTGTTGCAGCTGTGCCCCCCCCCCAAGCTCTCACACTCACCACGACACTGCCGCTCGCGACAATCTGCACAAAGGTCGCCCTTCATCGCTTCACGAGTGCGACTGTGAAGGTGGCACGGCGCACGATGGTGCACGTGTAGCCAGCAACCGCACCAGCTATACCCACTTCAGGCTGAGTCGACATAGGGGAGGCCCAGCACCGGTTCTAGTCGATCGAGCGCCAGTTACGCGGCCGCTCGTGTCAACGTGGTTCAGGTATTCGCCACTGATGTTTACTGTGAGCGGGAATCGAACTCGAGTTTTCTGGGTTCGTGGCAAAGTGCGCTCATCACGAACAACTACCCCCCCTCTCCGCGTTACACACACACACGTATATATATACTCGTACACATATATCCCGATGAGCACACGTATAGTACTGTACTGTACACGAAGACGTACATACATGAGTCTTACTCACATGTAGACACATACAAAAATAATAAATCCGCTAACATAGGTGCGCACGACGTGCATACGCAAATCACAGCGTCTCTTATTTCAACTCGCACATACATGCATGCATGCGCACATGTATACCTACATACAAAATAGAAACATCACCCCGTAAAGACTTTAAAACTGTTGCTGAAAGTGCTGGGAGCGAGCACTTATATAACAAAGAAAGAACACCCCCGGATAGCCTTAGCGTACTGTTGGGGCAAGTGCTGTTAGCGAGCGCCTATGAAGGCCGGCACGGCACACGAGGGGGTGGGTGGCCTGCACCACGCCCGTCACACGCACGTATACACGGACACAAGTGTTCAAGCACCGATTCTATTTTTCGATTTAAGAAACGTGTAGGGGATGATGATTAAGTTCGATCTCTATTTTTTGTTAATTCTTCAAAGTTCGCTAAAATAACGTTCAGAAACTTGTATTTCAATCTAAATAAATAGACACAAATGGCATGATTGACAGATACGTCTGAGCGAAACCAATCACGCACAAAGACTAATCTCCCTCCGTATAGCCTTAGCAGGCTATTGGGGCAAGAGCTGTTATTAGCGAGCACCTATGAAGGCCGGCACTGTGGCACACGAGTTACCAGCACTATGCCCGGCCGCCTTTGTCTCCCTAATGGCGATGTTTACTACACACGCGCAATTGGGGCTGATTCGACGCACACACACACTAGTTAATAATATTATAAATATAAATTATGTCGCCTTTCCGACCCAAGATCAAAGCCTCCCCCCCCCCCTCTCAATCGTGATGGCTATTGCCACTCATCAGCAAACCCCGTGTACACATTGCTGTGTCGATGAGCGGTATTCTGTGCACCGCTCCCGGGTAGGCCGGGAAAGAGTCGAAAGAAGCAGTTTGAGTGGGGAGTTCACAACGTGTCAGTACTTAGTCCGACTTGGCGTTCTCTCTCTCTCTCCTACGGGAAGGGTCAATAATGCGTCTTCATCCATGGCACCTGGAGTCTGTCCCCGTGACCTCTTACCGTGACGTCCTCAAACTGAACCTCAAGCTAAACTATATATTTGTATCTTTTTTTCCTTCATATTTTATCAGGTAATGCCCCACTGAGCTGTATAGCTCTCTTCTTTAGAAACCACCTGGCCACAAACGATAGCTCAACGAAGTGGCTTATCACGTGGAAAACGCGATGTATAGCAGCCAAAACCTCTGAACGCGTGATGTTTGATTTCATATACGGAGGTTAAACCCGGAGGACCCGGAGAACATTTAACGCCACCACTGCGAGAGACACGCAAATATACAGCAGGCATCGTGAGGGTCGGGATGGAACCCACGACCTCCTGTACACCAGGCGAGGTAGTTAACATATCCTAGCCACCGCGATGGTGATGAGAGAGACACGCAAAGTCCAAATATACAGCAGGCATCGCCAGGGTCGGGATCGAACCCACGACCTCTTGTGTACCAGGCGAGGTAGTTAACATCTCCTAGCCACCGTGATGGTGATGAGAGACACACGCAAAGTCCAAATATACAGCAGGCATCGCCAGGGTCGGGATAGAACCCATGATCTCCTGTATACCAGGCGAGGTAGTTAACATCTCCTAGCCACCACGATGGTGATGAGAGAGACACGCAAAGTCTAAATATACAGCAGGGTTCCGGGTCGGATGGAACCCACGATCTCCTGTATACAAGGCGAGGTAGTTAACATCTCCAAACCGTTTTGGCGTGACCCCATCCCGTCACGAGCGCCGTGGTGACGTCACCGCCACTTAGTGGCGAACGGCATGGCGTTGTTTGTTGTTGTTGTTGTTTACGCACTGCGTACGTTGTCTTTGTGTATTGATGCTCCAGCTAGTCGGCTCAGGTTAAACGTGGGTGTATTGGCGTGTCTCTATTATCGATGCTCGCATACAGCACTTGCCCCAACAGTCCGTTCAAAGGCGATGCGTGGGTGTCTTTTTTCTCTGTGCGCATGCATGTGCGTCTGCGTGTGCCCACGTGTGTGTGTGTGTGCATGTATGTACGCAATGATGTATGCGTTGGGACGTGTGTACGTTGTGTGCGTTTGTGTGTTTATCGGTCAGTATGCATTGTTTTTTTTCTTTAACGTCACTCAGTGTGTGTGAGTGTGATTGCAACTATTGTATGTATATCTCTGTCTTTGTGTGCGTGTATAGGTTTGTGAATGTGCGTGTGTGTGCATGGTATCTTCTACACGGCTGTGTGTGTGTGGGTGCGTGTATCGGTGCGAGTGTCTGAGAATGCGTGTGTTTGTGTACGTGTGCTCGCGAATCGGTGGACATGCGTACATCAGCGGACATGCGTGTGCGAGAGTGGAGGGAGTTTGTGGTCTGGCGCTACGCTGCGCTACGAACCCGCTGAACCGAGTTCGATTCCCGCTCACGGCCACCAAACCAGCGATTATCTGAACCGGTCCTGGGCCTCCTCTAGGTCGATTCAGCCTCAAATGAGTACCTGGTTCGCTGTGTAAACAATCGCCACTGGGGAGACAAAGGCGGCCGGGCGTGGTGCTGGCCACCCACCCCGTTGTGTGCTGTGCTGGCATTCATAGGTGCTCGCTAACAGCACTTGCCCCTACAGTCTGTTAAGGCTACACGGGGGATTCCCGCTCACGGCCACCGATACCAGTGACGATTTTCTGTACCGGTTCTGGGCCGAGGTCGACTCTGGCTCGTTGACCAGCGTGGTGAAAGATGGTTAAACAAACCCCCGTGTGTATGTGTGTATGTATGTATATGTGTGGAACGATAGTGTAGCGGTTAGCGCTACGCTTGCGCTACGAACCCGGCGACCAGAGTTCGATTCCAGCTCACGGCCAACACCGGTGACGGATATCTAAACCGGTCCTGGGCCTCCCCTAGGTCGACTTAGCCTCAAATGAGTACCTGGTGCGCTGTGTAAACATGGTCACTGGGGAGACAAAGGATGGTCGGGCGTGGTGCTGGCCACCCACCCCCTCGTGTGCCGTGCCGGCCTTCATAGGTCCTCGCTATAACAGCACTTGCCCCAAAAGTATGTTCGAGCTATACGGGTGATCTTTGTCTTTGGAGGCGGACAGTTTCTAACACATCCCCTAACAAAGTTTAAGCCTACTGTATGTATATAAATATAATTTGACATAAGCTGTTACTGCTATATAATACAACGATTCGGTGCGCGGTAACGTCTCTTAGCTGTGAAACATTTGCGCTCATTAAAAAACTGTTGCGGTTGAAAAACGTTAATTGAGTTTTTCCCTTTCGATTACCGTAGCCCCCCTTAATTGGATCTCATTTATCGGAGCGTCTGCACAACAAGACACGGAACGGCCATTTCAGTCCCCCATCTCGCCAACTTTAAGCAAGCTCGCTCGCCATGTGTTTTTTTTTATCATGCGCACACACACTTACGGAGGATAGGATAATGTGATTATTAATAAAACGAATAATCTATGCGCTGCGATGGTGTAACGTGCAACGTGTAAACATCGTCACTAGGGGAGACAAAGGCGGCCGGGCGTGGTGCTGGCCACCCGCCCTGCCTTCATCGCTGCTACTCGCTTACATCACTTGCCCGAAACGTTTGTTGATGCTATACGGGTCCACGTGCGCTATCAATTAATTATCGAACGGGTAATTATTATTCAGATAATAATGATAATCAATTCTCATTTCAAATGTTGTAAAATACAAGCCACACAAGGCAGGCCGTCATGGCATTATTATTAGTGTATTGACATTCAAAAGCACAAGCATCGGCCGGGGCGATAAAGGAGCTACTCACGAGCAGTCAAACTGCAGACTTCAAAGTTGGCTGTCTCGACCAACGCGATATCTAACGCAGCCCTTGAGAATGCGTTGTTACGGTCTAAAATTAAATAACATAATTACTCGTTTCATGGTTACCGTTTATAATTAGACCAAGGTGTTAGGTTAATATACGTATGCGCATTTCGCATGTATTTGCATGTACAGAGTAGTAGTAGTATGTTGTGAATTATGTACGCAGTGCATATGCGTAATTATTATATTGCCCTTATATATTGCGTTTGTTTATAATTTGTCGAAATTATACGATGTTACATTAGCAATAGTTGTGAAATTATCATGGATTAATATTCTTCAAATATCCGCTATATACTAAATACACGGAATTCACGGTCCAAAAATACAAGCGATTTAATTGCGTCAATAAATAATATAACGCCTATTTTTTTTCTTTCAGAGTGCAAACTTAATACACAATTACGCAAAATATATATCTGTATTTCGTACGATTAATTAGCATTTTTTTAAAATATCTAAATAAACTTAAAATACAACACGGTCCTAATTACGAAAACAAATAATTCCAAAAATAAATATTACCACTTCGATAATATATACATATATATATTAGAGCATGCTGCAATTTCATCACTACATTTTCGCTAAATAATGCCCCCCCACCCCGACCTCCAAAACAAAACAATTGTCATTCACAAATAGGGGGGGGGGGCTCGCGCTTACAGAGTCCACTCACGGATGCCCTGTCCCCCACAGCGGACCAGCCCGCCCCTTGCCACCACCTCGTTAGTCCAAAGATAAAGACATCAGCTACCCCCAATTACGGCTGCCTACGAGTGCACGTCTTGAGATGCAGCCCTGCGCTGCGTTGCGTTAGCGCCAGGGGTTAGCGGAACACGAACCCCGATTGAGCCAGCCTAGTGCCCTTCACATCCACACCCCCCCGCCCCCGTTATCGTCTCGCTTCCGCGCTCACTCGCTACGTGCCTATTCTGAGTTGAACACCAGTCCCAGCTCTTCCCCCCCCCCCACAACACCTCCACCCTGAACCCACCCAGTCATCCCTCAATAACAAGTCGCTACCCCCCTCGACTTGCGCACGGTGACTAGGGTTCGTTGTCGACACGAGGCACGCCTTGTACTTCGAGAGGGTCGCCATTGTGGCTTTGACGGAGCTGATAAAAAGGACGCAAACCCTGCAACGGTTCGCGTGTGTTGTCCACGACTTCTCACATCCCAACACACCCCCGCCCTACTTCCTCCGCTTCTCTACCCTTCTCCCACCCAAACCAATGCGCACAACAACCTATCGGCAGCATCTGCTTTCCATTTCGACGCCGTAAATTCATCCAGAACGGCAACTCGCGGCACGCTTCGTGAGCGTGCCGCGCGATACCAGCCACTCGTATCCCCGCCTCCTCTACAAGCATGCAACAACCATCTGCTACACGCAGGCACGCAACTCAGCCGAGATCCCTTCTCTAACTCATCCCCCCCCCCTCCTCGACACACACACACACAAACTCCCCTCCTCTCACGCCTCTTTGAGTGTCCGTCACCCGGGACCCCAACTCGAACCGTGGCCCACGGCCCAGAGGAACGCAAAAGGCATCCCGACCCCATCACCGCGTCGGTTCGGGCCCACGTTATTGTTGTTGTTCTTGTTGTTGTTGTTGGAAGTTCTCGCAAACGACTCGCTGATTTACGTCCCGCGGTCAGTTTGTAGGCAATGCGCGCGAGCAGCCGATTTTCTTTCTTCAACAACAACAACAAAAATAGAGATTTATCGGCGGCGGTGACGAATAACCCGAAGTGACACATTGAGGGCTGGTGCAGCAGCAGCGGCTCACACTCGACCACGCGTGCCCACGTCGCCACGTTGTGTACACTCGTGCTTGTGTCTCTCTCTCTCTGTGTATATACACACAGAGAGAGAGACACACACAGACACATACACAGGTGCTACTCGCCAACAGCACTTGGCCCAACAGTCTGTTACACGCGCGATCTCCGTATTTGCATTATAATCGGGGGGTGTGCTACACATTCGCGCCGCGCTGTGTACACAACTAGGGAGCGGGGGGGGGGGGTCTAGGCTATAGGCTAGCAGTAGAGAGTGTGGCGGTGGTGCCTGCTGACCGTGGGTGGATCGTGAAGCGCAAGATTGTGCCAATGGGACGAGCTCAAATCGACGACGACTTCACCGCGCAAATATTGCCGGGGCAGCAGTAGCATTAGACGATGACGCCGCCGCCACCGATAGAGCCGTAAACGCGCGTTTTCAGATTGTTTGTAAACAAGAACACAGCAATACAACCCCAACCACCACCACGGCCGTAGGCTTTCTCCCACCCCCACAAACAACAAAAAGTTTGACAGCGCACTAGCTGCAAGCAAAGCGCATAAGGAAATTAAAATAATTGTACGAAAAAAATGTTTTTGTTTCTGCTCGATGATAACAGGACGGCGAACGTAACAGCGAAGAGCATTCCAATAATTATAATTCAAATAATAATAAATGTTGTAATTTTAAGCCAACAAAATAATGTTTGTCTCAAACGTGAAAACGTCATTTCTATGTCTGTACAGCACTACGTATGTATTATGTGTGGTTTGTCTACTTGTGTATGTTATGTATATGAGTACGAATGTGCATGTTTACATTATTTTTTTGTGTATCTGTGTGTACGTACGTATGATTGTGTGCATTTATGTACGTATGTTTGTGTGTATGTATGTGCGTGCTAGTGTTTGTGCCTGTTTGCGTATGCCTGTGTATGTAATGTGTGTGTGTGTGTAATGTGTGTACGTGTGTATGTTAACACATTGACTTAAAAGCTGTGCGCACATCGCCCATTCCGCTTGTACTCGCTAAGTACTTTTGCACATTTCTCGTGAGCACGTGTACACACACACACACCCGTAAATACACAGACGTGAGCGCACGTACACACGCGTGCACACACGCACATCTCGTAAACAATCGCGCACATGTAGAGACACACAAGTTGCAACTGCGAGAAAACACATTATACATTGCACGCACGCCCACACACTTGTAAACAAACACACACACATGTAAATGTACGTACACACTGGTAAAGACACACACAAACACATGCGTTCTCACGCTTAAAAACACGCACACATAGGCGTGTGTTAACACTCAAAACACGGCTCGCACACATTCACACTCAAACGCACGCATGCTTACACACACGTACGCATAAACGTGTCCACACACGTGTGCACACACTCACACCTAAATACACACACGTGTGCACACACACACTCGCGTGTACACACACGATTTAAAAAACACAGGTGTACACACACTCACGCGTGCGTACACGTTTAAAAACACACGTGTACACACACACACGTGTACACACACACACACGTGTACACACACGTGTACACACACGTGTACACACGTGTACACACACACACGTGTACACACACACACTCGTGCACACACATCTGTACACACACACATGTACACACACACGTGCACACACACACACACGTGTACACACACACACACACGTGTACACACACTCTCGCAAGCGGAGTGCCGTTTACCTGTGTGCGTCCTCTTGTGGATCTTGAGGTTTTCGGAGCGAGCGAACACCTTGCCGCAGGCGGGGAAGGGGCACGGGAAGGGCTTCTCGCCCGTGTGCACCCTGATGTGGTTCACCAGCTTGTACTTGGCCTTGAAGGGCTTCCCCTCGCGGGGACACTCGTCCCAGTGGCACACGTGGTTGGCCTGCTCGGGCCCACCCACGTGCTCCACGCTCAGGTGCGTCACCAGCTCGTGCATGGTGCTGAACACGCGGTTGCAGGGCTGCTTCTTCACCAGCTCCGGCTCTATCCACTTGCACACGAGCTCCTGCTTTAGCTGTGGGCGCAGGTAGCGGAAGAAGGCGCCCGCTCCGGCCGCCGGGTGATGATGATGGTGGTGATGATGCGCGGCCATATTCACGTAGCCGTGCAGCGGCGCCCCAGCCGCAGCCGCGTAGGGGTCTCCTCGTCCGCCGGACACTTGTCCGAAGCGATCGGCCCGTCCGTAGGAGTCATTGGCGAGGCCGAGGCGCAGTTGCCCGCCGAGCAAGTGCGCGTTCGAGGAGTGGTGGTGCGCGTGGTGGTGCGGGTGGTGGTGCGGGTGGTGGTGGTGGTGCGGGTGGTGGTGCGGGTGGTGGGGATGCTGAGCCGCGCTCGCTTGCTCGTGCAGTCCCGGGAAGAGGAGGTGTCCGGCTGCGGCCGCGGCGGCGTCCAGAGCCTGCTGCCCGGAGAAGCTGCCCGTGGGGGCGAAGACGCCGTGCTGAGCGGGACCGCCCGCCGCAGCCGCCGCGGCAGCCGCGTCTCCAAAGCCGCAGTTGCGGAAGAGAAAGTCGGAGCGATTGGCGGCCGAGGCGCCGAAGCCCGCAGCGGCAGCCGCCGCGGCCGCTCCGTACGAGCCCACAGGCGCCGGGTGCGCGTGGGGTCCGTGAGCGCCGATGGCCGCGGAGTAGCCGGCCGACGCTTGCGACACGAACGCCGACGGCTGCCCGGCGCCGAGCTCCGAGCCCAGCTTGAGCGCCGCGGTGTCTCCGTAGCCGTCCATCGCCGCCGAGTCGCGCTCGCACGACTCGCCGGACGCAGCTGCGTAATGGCGCACGGACGCCGGCCCGAAGCCCAGACCCAAGGACGGGTACTGGGGCGCCGCCTCGAGAAGCATCGCGTGCGGTGGCGCTCGATCGGCGCCGCTCGGGAGAAGCCCGAGTGAGTGCGGGTGCTGGCGTGTGCGCTGCGTCGTGGGTGGGTGTGTGTGTGCTGTGGCGAGAGAGCAGCGTGAGTGTGTGTGTGTGCTGGCGTGTGAGCGCGTGTGAGTGTCTGCAGCGTTCGCGTGCGTGTGGTGCGTAAGGGGCGGGCGGCGGGGGGGGGTGTCTCTTATGGTCGTGCGGTTCGTTCGCTGGCTGTCGATGCTGGCTGGCTGCGTGTCGTGCGCCGCGCACTCGATATATATCTTCTGTTTGAACCTTCCGTCGATGCGAACAGACGGGAGAGGAGAGTGGAGGGAGAGAGAGAGGACGGGAGGTGGGTGGAGAGGGGGGGGAGATACGAGAGCTGTCGCTTTGAGGCTATCCGCTACCTTCGGAGCGGTGCGAGAAGGAAGAGAGACCGCGGCGTCTCGCAGTCACTTTAAGTCGACGCTTCGGTAAGTTCCCTCTCGCGGCTTCTTCATCAACTACGCCGACTTTACACCGCCGCGGTGTTGTTCTCGCGATCTCTCTAACGCTTCACCCTCTCCCCTCCCCCCCCACCAGCACCTTCTTTATATCTCTAAATAATAATAAGAATACAACTTCTGTCGTTACGGAGACGCGCAAACGTCCGTTGAGCGCGTTCGCAAACAAAAACAACAACTACGAATGAAGATCGATTCTAAAAAAATATATATAATAACTTGAGAATAGTAAACAACAATAACGACGACGATGATTTGCTATGAATTCGCGACGAGAGCGCGGAGGAGATGGTGAGAAAGACGCGGAGGAGAGACGAGAGAACGGGACAACGGAAATAAAGAAGGCAGCCTCCGTTCGCAGAATAGTTTTTGTTGTTGTTGCAACAAACCGAATAACAGTAAGTAAACAAAAATTAAAAATAATATATTCCTATTGCCTATCTAATAATGGCCCTCCCCCCCTCTCCCCGTTTTTTGTCGATGGGTTAACCGAGTCCGACGCTCGCCCCGTTAAGTGCGGGCGGAGTGAAGAAGCCGCCGCCGAGAAGTATCTGCGATGGATGGGATGGCGAGAGAGCGCTGAGCCTCGTGCAGAGAGAGAGCGAACGAACGAGAGAGAGAGAGCGAGCGCGCACACTGCACGAGAGAGTAAGAAGAAGAAGAGGCAGAGAGCGTAGAAAGAGTAGCGGGAGAGGAGAAGCGGGGGAAGATGCGAGCCGTGGTTTGCTCGACGGCTAGGGGATGATCGCCTTTGACGCTTCCAACAGATAAATGCGCGCGACAGATAGGCGCCTCCCGCTGATGTATGCCACTTCAAAGCGGTTTCCGCCGCGACACGTGACTCGCTCCCCGCTCTCCCATTGGCGCACTTCGTCCAAAAAACGTGGCGAGAGAGAGGGGGGGGGGGCGCGAGAGGGAGAGAGAGAGAGAAAAAAAACGAGGACGCGGAGGAGTGGAGGGGGGGGTGGAGAGAAAGAGGAGGGAGGAGGGAGCGAGCGAGCGGGTGATGGGGGGAGTTGGATGGAGAGGCGAGGCAGGGTGAGGAGGGAGTGAGGCAGGCTTGGGCTGGGTGCCTGCGAAAGTGGGCGTTGGGGTTTGTGGAGCTTTTTTTGTGTTTTTTTTTTGGGGGGGCGGGCGGGTGTATTGAGGGAGGGAGCAGAGGGGAGGGGGAGGAGGGGGACGTGAGGATGAGGATGAGGGGATTGGGAGGAGATTGGGGGAGAGAGGAGGGGGGGGTGATTCGAAGAGCGGTGGGTGGGTGGTGTTGGTGGGGGGGGACTAAGGGGGGGGGGGGGGTGGGCTTCAACATGCAGTTTGGTCGTCGCTTCTGATTGGCCGTCGCTGACAGGTATACACCGTCTAGAACGCGCTCGAGGAGCGAGCCTGCGCGCGGGGTGTGCACGCGCGGGGGTGTGTGCACGTGGGGTGTGTGCACGTGGGGTGTGTGCACGTGGGGTGTGTGCACGTGGGGTGTGTGCACGCGTGGTGTGTGTGCACGCGTGGTGTGTGTGCACGCGGGGTGTGTGTGCGTGGAGTGTGTGCACGCGTGGTGGATGTGCACGTGGGGTGTGTGCACGTGGGGTGTGTGCACGCGTGGAGTGTGTGCACGCGTGGTGTGTGTGCACGTGGGCGGGTATGCACGCGGGCGGGTGTGAACGCGCGTACGTACACAACACGTGATTTTATATCACGGTGATGCATTTACATCGCCGCCGTTAGCGATACGGGATTTGTCGTGGGCATTTTTGTTTGTTAGTATTTCGAAATACTCCCCGTCTTTCAATTACAATCTGATGATAATAATGATGATCGTGAATAGTCCACTAAATAACACGCGCGCGCACGCAACGACGGCTTTCCAGTCGAAGTTGCCCGGTTGCCCTGCGCAGGTTTGATTCGGTTTGAACGTTGCCGGCACGCACGAAAGTTTGTATCACGGCTCTACTGCTGCCCCCCCCTCGCCCTCCCTCGCTCCCTTGCAGCGACGTCGCCCGGGCTTTTTGCGGCGATACGATTTGGAACGTCGCGGGCAACAACAAAACATTTGCATCGCCCGTTGCTCGGTGGGCAGGAGACATCTCGAAAGTGATGATGTTATTTTTTTTTTCATGTTGCACTCAACGCAGTAAGCGGGTCCCGCCCGCTCGCTCGCTCGCCCGCCCTTTCGAGACACGAAATGCCCCGAGCGAGAAATGCACATATCGATAAATGCCCCTATCGATAAATGCCCCCATCGAGAAATGCACATATCGATAAATGCCCCTATCGTGGAGACGGGCAAAGCCGATTTGCTCAGCGGAAGAAATCGTCGCTCGCTTAGCGCGTTGGCAGGGCGCTCGGGAGTGGCCGCTGTTGCCGCCGCCGCCTCCTCTCTCCTCCTCCGTCGTTGTGAATTCGCTGAACGCGGTCGCGTCGGTTGGAGATGCACGCAGAGCGAAACACAGCCGCGTCCGTGTGTGGGCGCGGTGCTGTACGAAGACGACCTTCGATGGCTTCCGATCACTTAGCCTGGCACCACGGGTAATGAATGTAGCTCCAGTCCGCCACCACCATCATCATCATCATCAATGCATCATCAGCCATGATCAATCCACTGCTGGATCAAGTGCCCCCCCCCCTCTCTCTCCCCCCATCACCACTCCTCGCACCAAACAAAAACCTTCCCCGTCTCTTCGCGATCTTGCACTCGGGTTGAGCGTAAATTTAGTAGCAGCGACGGGTACACGTCCCAGCGTATTTACACACGCGCACATGCATACCGTACATACAAGCGGCAACATACGTGCGCACATTACGAAGCGAGCATGTATGTATATACATATATATACATGTGTGTGTGTGTGTTGCGTCCTGACATACGTAAATACGTGGCACGTTGATGAACGCGTGGGAGCGTCGCAAGCGAGTGGACGTCCCGTTGCATTGCGGAGGGCAACGTGAAATGCATTGTGACGTTAGATTTATAGAGCGGCTTTTCGTGTTGTGTTTTGTTGTTGTTATAAATGCGTGTGCGGGGGAGCGGTCGCGTAGCTGCGCTCTACCGGTTCCGGGACAGCCCCCTTAGGTCGACTGAGCCTCAAATTACCACGTGGTGCGGTGTGTAAACAGCGGGAGACAAAGGCGGCCGGGCCTGGTTTTGGCCACCCGCCCCCTCGTGTGTCGTGCCGGCCTTCATAGGTGCTCGCTAACAGCACTTGCCCCAACAGTCTGTAAAGGCTATACGGGGGGGGGGGGTCGTTGTGTTTGTGCGTGTGTATGTCACGCTACCCATAATGCAGTGTACAATACAGAGACAGACCGGTGGTACCCGGTATGCAAAAAAGGTACGTTGGGTGGACGCAGCTCTGAGGTTGTCAATATTTTTTTATTTCAATTCCAAACGTTTGTTTTTTAACTACGAACCAATGTTGCGCCGGTCGGAAAAAAATCTCACTTGGAAATTAGAATTAGCCCCCGCTGTCAAAAAATATCAGTTCACTCCGAGGCGAAATCTTCTCATTCTGCTCGATGTGTGCGGTTCCCGTAGAATGTTTCGTATTTTCCTCAGTGATGCTAAATATACGAAAAAAAACCGACAACAACAACAACAAACACCATCGCGCACATTTTCTCGAAAGTAGCCACAAATAGTATGATGCTAATTGTCCGCAAATGCTAAACATAGAGAGACAGGCACTGGTTAAAACAATATTCGCACGTGCCGATAGCGTGGGCGCCTTGCAATGTAGAATAAGGTGAATCTGATGTGTGGTGTGTGTGTGTGTGCTTTTTGTGTGTGCCAGCCTTCATTGGTGCTCGCTAACAGCACTTGCCCCAACAATCTGTCAAGGCTATACGAGGCATCTTTGTCTTTGTGGTATGTGCGTGGTGTTTGTGTAGTGTAGGGGTGTGTGGCGTTTGCGTGGTGTGTGTGCGTTGCATCTGCCAGTCTTCTCAAGCCAGCCAACCCGTAGCACCTAGGTCTGTTCCGTGACCTCCTGCTGACAGCTACGCTGTGCGTGCACCTAGCCTTGCACAATCACTGCGGTGGCGTCACCTTCACTCAGTGGCGAGCGACGGTTGTTGATGTGTACACGGTGGTTCGGGGCGTGTACCGAGCTGGAGAGAGGTACGTGCCGATTGGCGCGTACTCAGTGGTGCGTGGTGTGTCCTGGGTGGCGCGTATCGCGTGAGCGCTGCGCTGCGCTATGAACCCGGCTCCCCGGAGTTCGATTCCCGATCACGGCCATCCACACCAGTATCGATTATCTGAACGGGGTTTCGTGGGCCCCTCCCTAGCTCGACTCGGCCTTCAAACGAGTACCTGGTTGCGGCGTGCAAACATCGCCACGGGGGAGACAAAGGCGGCCCGGGCGTGATGCCGGTCAAGACACCGAGTCGTGTTCTATGCCGGCTTTGCTCGCAAAACAACACTTGCCCCCCAAAAAGTATGCCGAAGGCGATTGCGGCGGGAGCTTTTGTGTTTTTATTTTGTGGGGCCGGGCAAATTGTCGCCTTGTCGGCGATTAAACACGGAGCGACTTTGCCGCGCTTAGCGTCAAACGCCGCCGGTAACCTCCTCCACCCCCCCCCCCCCCCGTGAGTTATCGTTCCACTTAAAGTCGTGACATTCACATTTGCGTAACCTATTACAAGTCTAATGCATTTTGAGTAATGCCCAACGTCGGCCCCGTGTAAGCACGGGTGGACGTGCGCGCGTACGCGCGTGCGTGTGTGTCTCTGTGAGAGATGTGTGGAGAGCGGTGGCGCAGCGGTTAGCGCATTGCGCTACGAACCCTGCGAACATTTTTTTAAAAATAATTTCCCCCACCCCGGCTCACGAGCAATAACAGTGACGAATATTTTGAACCGGTCCTGGGACCATCTCCCCACACCCCTCTAGGTCGACTCAGGCTCAAATTAATACCTGTTGCGATGTGTAAGCGTCAGCATTGGGGAGACAAAGGCGGTCGGGCGCGGTGTTGGCCATCCACCCCTTCGTGTGCCGTGCCGGTGTTCATAGCTGCTCGCTAACACACTCGCCCCAACACGGGGGATCTTCGTCTTCATGCGTGTAATGTCCGTGACTAATACTACGTACAGATACATTATTATAATGCACGTGCGTTGCACACACACGCGTATACGTACGCGTGTACGATTGTATGTGGTGTTCGTGTATCTTTAATTTTCTATGCGTGTGTATGTATGCATGCACACGTGTACGTACGAACGTACGTGTCGTATTTATGCCTGTGCCCATGAATGTGTGCACGCATGAATGTGTGCACGCATGAATGTGTGCACGCACGCTTACCGACTCGGCGATGAACTAGTTACCGTGCTCCGAGGAGGCCTTGTTAATAGGTGCTCGCTAACAGCACTCGCACCCAACGGTAGGATGGCATTGTTGCCTTGTTGTGTGTCCCACCGTGAGTATGCAAGGCAGTGTGGTGGGTGGGTGGCGCAGTGGTTAGCGCGCGGGGCTACGAAGCCGGCTACCCAGGTTCAATTTCCGCTCACAGGTGACAATTTATCTGCAGCCGGTCCTGGGCCACCCCGAGGTCGACTCGGTCTCAAATGAGTATCCGGTGCGGCGTGTAAACATCGCCATTGGGGGAGACAAAGGCGGTCGGACGTGGTGCTGGCCAACCACCCCCATCCCCTTTCGCGTGCCGTTCCAGCTTTCAGAGGTGCTCGCTAACAGCACTTGCCACAACAATCTGTTAAAGGCTATACAGGGGGGTGGAGGCTTTGTCTTTGTGTATGTATTGATGTGTATATGTTTTTATCTGTAGGCTTCTGCAATTGTGTTTCTTGTTGCGTGCATTCGTGCGTGGACGTATCTGCGCATGTAAGTTTGCGTGCGTGTGCACGTTTAGATGAGTACGTTGCGTGCGCGTGCTCGCTAACAGCACTTGCCCCAACAGTCTGCTAGGGCTATACGGGGGGGGGATCTTTGTCGCAATGTTCACGGATGCATACAATACCATTACCGTGTACACCACTACACCACGCACGCGTACCATAGACCTGCGTGCCTACAAAGCCCTCCACGTGTGTGCGTGTGTGTGTGTATATGTCTATGTGTGTGAACTGGTCCGGAGTAACGCGCGTTTGACGCACGATTTATTTACTGCGCACAATGACGGCCGTAACAGTTCCACACGATAGCGATATGCGGAGTCGTAATATAGAATTATAGCTCGGTCGTAAAATGCAACAACCGCTTATGTGTGTAATTTATACTTGCGTGCGAGTGTGTTTTATATCGGTGTATAAGCGCGTGTGTGTGTGTGTGTGGGGAGTGGTAGTGTAGCGGTTTGCGCGCTGCGCTATGAATCCCGGCCACCCGAGTTCGATTCCGAC